GGAGCCCTCCGCGCCGTCCCCACGTGCGATCGCGGCAGCTCCGGGATTTTTAAAGGTCGCCGCGCCGTGGGTTTCCTCCCGGCCGCCGCCGCGGGAAGGGCGCAGTGCTCTCCTTCCTCCTTCCATCAGATCCGCCGTCGCGCCCCGCGGTGCAGCGCCCGCGGCCAGCTCCGGTCACACACGTGTTTTCCGTAGCCGGCCGCCGCTCCGTCCTGGGGAGGGGGGCAGCGCATGCACCCGCGCAACTGGGGAGAGCTGTCCCCTAACGCGGGCTGAGCCGTGCGGGAAACTTACCGGGGGAGGAGTGAGCGTGCTGCACTGCTCCAGCGACTTCCCGCTGCCGTTCATTCATCTCCCGGCGCGATAGGTAAACAGTGCTCCTGTAACCCAGGGCTTTGCCAGGCTTTGTCGAGGGGAGCTTCCGACCAGAAAATACCTGTCAAACGGCAACTGGGAGGTCTTTTCTGCTCCTAACTGCCCTTTCGAACGTTATTTTCGGTTGTTAGACAAGGTGGCATGTTCCCCGATAAGGCTCTGTCGATTGATATTTCTGTCTAATCTAAATTCTTTAACGTTCCTTCAAATGTATTGGTTTTAGCAAATATGGTTTATGCTATTTTAATTAAATTGTTATTAATCTGTCACGATTGACTCATAATTTAAGTTCATTTGTAAAACTGAGTAGAAGAATGTGAGCTGTGATTTCTAGGGGTAAACTGGCTTTGAGTGCCGTTCCTTCAAACTTTTTCTGCACTTCAGCCGTAGTACACCCTGGAAGTAGCTGAAGCTTTTAAGGCCTAGTAACACTCATGACATTTAATAGGAATTTCTGCATACTTCTAAAGTAGATGACTAGAAAAAGTCTTAAGTGAAAACCCCAGGTGATTTGTCAGACTTGAGAATGAAGGGATTTTGATGCATTTTTGTTTGTTTTTCAGAAAAAGAGCAACAGGAAGCAATTGAACACATTGATGAAGTACAGAATGAAATAGACAGGTAAACAAATGTTTTAGCAGAAATGAAGATGTAACTGAAATATAAAAATATTTAGTAAAGTAAGAACTCGGTAGTAGTTCTCACTCTCTTTAAACTCTGCCAAGATATACTAGTGTTCTGACTTGATTGCATGTAAGAAGTATTTGTGTATGATAAAAATCTGAAGTAGTGCCCTGGTTTCTTGTTTAATTATGTGTAATTAAAAGAGTAGAACTTGAGTTTAAAATTTTTAATTAATTGTGATCGTTTTGATAATAGAAATCTATTTCATAGTGTTTTTTCAAGTTACTGTGTATTGTGTTTTGCAAGAGTATTTTCATGTTTGCAACCGAAAACTTGGTTGAAAAGTTAGCTTTTATTATACTTTTTAAAAAATTATATATTCGTGCTTTTGTAGAATACCTAGAAAGTGTGACTAAAACATTAGTTTTGTATGCCAGAACTCTTTGTGGGTTCTGTGTTGGTATTTGCCTGGATCTTGTCTCCATGCACACTGTCCTGCAAAGGCTGCAGGTGACTGCTGAGGCTCTGGCCATGTGAACCTGTTGCGCTATCAGGGCTCTTCCTTTTTACAAAACCAATTAAATGTTACATCTTAAGATTTTACTTGTGTGGGGTATACAAAATTGCTTTGCTGTAGCTTGCCTGCCTGCCCAAAAGTTACAAAGAGCAGGTGATAGTGTTACGTGTTATCCGTCTTCAGGTCTTTTGCAAATAAAATGTTTAAGAGGTAAAATACTACTTTGCTTTGCATAAATAAGGGTCCGTCCCTTATGTCATGCTGCAAAACACACAGTGTGCTCAGAATGCTTCATTAAGATCAGTGATATTGCCTCTGGTAGAATGATTCTTAAAAGTTGTTAAAGGTTTGGGCCTCAGTTTTTTTGTTTGAGATCTCATTTGTTGAATATGGCAGACTAGTCTAATCAGACTCAAGCCGTTTTTAGCTAACTACTGATGATGCATCTTTAAATTTCAGTTCTCTCTCCAGTGGTTAATGTGGTTCTTCCTATTACAGACTGAATGAACAAGCCAGTGAGGAAATTTTGAAAGTAGAACAGAAATACAACAAACTCCGCCAACCATTCTTCCAGAAGAGGTCAGAATTGATCGCCAAAATCCCAAATTTCTGGGTAACAACATTTGTCAACCACCCACAAGGTATGTTCTTAATGTCCCTCTTTTTTTCTGTAAACTCAGTGTTTGCTTGGGTGTTATGGGTATATCTGGCAGGACTGAGGGTTTTCTAGAGTTGTTGCTGGGCGTATGTTTAAATGGAAGCCTGCTTCATATGCAAACACTTCCTTTTTGTTACAGAGTATGTTTTAAAAGCTTTCTATTTCTTGCATTTGTTAACCAAAGGAACATCTTGTTCACTAAAATCCCATGTTGGTTTTCTTTCTGCATTTTAAACTACAAGTTTCTCCTTTTTTTTTTTTTTTTTTTTTTTTTTTTTTTTTTTTAGTTAATTGGGCCCTTTAAAGGAGAAAATAAAAATAAAATCTAGGGGTTTTTTTTTAATTGGAGGTGAACTCCTTGGGATTCTTGACAATAGACTTTCTCAGAGGGCAAAACAAGTTTGTAGCCTGCTTAGATTGGGCAAACTACATCTGTGAAAACGTGTTTCAGAGAGATGTATGCAGGTAGCTTTTGCTGCTTTTTAATGTTGAACTACAACAAGCGAACGTACAATGCTTTCACCTCAGCAAATGCAAATCACACCAATGCTAATAATCTTTTGGCTGGTAACTTGAAAAAAATGGGCTGTGAGAAGTTGGCTTGGACTGTGTTGCTTTTCAAATCCTACTTGCTATCGGTTCCCTGTATTTCATCTGCATGATACACATTTCATAGCTTTGGTAATACGGGATTCCTAATTCTGTCTTAGTATCTGCACTGCTGGGAGAAGAAGATGAGGAAGCACTGCATTATTTGACCAGAGTTGAAGTGACAGAATTCGAAGACATCAAATCAGGTTACAGAATAGATTTTGTAAGTACTTGAAATAATTCCTTCACTTGTGATTTTTTCCAAGGTTTTTTGAACGTGATCACATATTGGGTTGTAGTTTGTAGCTTAATCTCTTCAGTTGTCCAGTTAGTACCAGGTTTTGACTTGGCATGTGTCTTTACATTATGTGGGTTCTAACTCTTTGCTTTCAACTCTGCAGTATTTTGATGAGAATCCGTACTTTGAAAATAAAGTTCTCTCCAAAGAGTTTCACCTTAATGAAAGTGGAGACCCATCTTCAAAATCAACTGAGATCAAATGGAAATCTGGGAAGGTATGTATGTGCTTCTGGGAAAGATGATTGCTGCTCTCTGTGATACCGTCATTTTCATGGTGTTCATTTTACTTTTTATTTAATCGAAGCTGCTTTGTCCTCCCTTCCCCTCCCAACCCACTTTCCACTTTACGTACGTAGCTCATGCCTACCTTGCAAGGTTTGGAATACCCTGTTTACGTGGAGATCTGTAGTGAATTCTCTTGCTCAGTTGAGCACCACCATTAAAACCATGAGAGCACAAGTATGACGAGAGGGAGGGATTAACAAGTGCATTAACTTGCTCTAGAATCTGTGTTCTGTTGCTTTCTTAAGGTAACTGTTAAATTAGGAATTGTGAGGACAGTAGGGTTTGGGGTGTTCGATAGGGATGCATGATTTTTTGTTGTTGTTGTTGGTTTTCCCTTTTTTTTCCTTCAAATTAATTTCCAGACACCACATCATTGGAGAAGTTGCAGCCACACAATAATGTGGGCATGTCTTTCAACCAGACTTTATTCAGTCATAATTTGTTGTAGTTAGTGTCTGTAAAAGTTGGGAGTACTTTAATGTGAAGATTTGAAATGAGTATTTGAAAGTAGAACTGAGGGTTGCGGCTAAGTCACTGCTTGTTTTGTCACCCTCAGACCAAGAAAACTTTTTTTCACTGAGAATTAGAACTTTTCCTCTTGTACAAGAAGTTACAGTCCACTACAAATAGAATGATTAGCTGAATGATCCTTACAACATACCACAAAATCAGCGTGAATTCTGGTATTCTTCATTAAACAGTCTAAATCTATAAATGTTGTGATTCTATAAAGAAAACAAATACTAGAAGTTTGGAGTTACCATATGATCAAAGAAAGAATGGATTAAAATAGTAGTTTTCAGACTAGGCAAAAAGATTGTTGTAAACTTCTGGGGTTAAGGTGATTGATACAGAATTCATGTATGGTTTTGTGACCCATGTCTTAGCGGTTTATGGTGTGTGGGTTGTTTTTTTTTTAACTACACAAGATGGCCTGAAGACTTTAAAGTAGGACATCTTAGGATAAGGCTAGACATTTCTTTATCTCAAGTTAAAGACAGAGCTTAGAGGTGTGGAGACTGTGTTTCTTAAATTGTGTGTATGTAGTAGTCGTAGCATTTAGCTGCAATTACCGCTAAATGCTCTCAGAGTAGCATTTAGCCATTTCAGTTCAGTATGTCATTAAACACTTACTGTACTTCTTTCTTGTGATTGGGAAGCATAAATCAAGTGCAAGATCATGTGAATTTTCAGTATTTCAGTGGAGGTCATTAAAAGAAACAGGCAGTTTTACTGTTTTCCTGTGTTCATGAGAACGCAGTCGTCTTCTGTGAGTTGTCTGGGTTTCAAAAGATTGTTAAAGACCTCTCCCTGAAAGAGGGAGCAGTAAGTGCCTACTTGTGGTTGTTCAGACAAGAATGTTTCTAAATGGTGCTTACTAAAAAATTCAACCAACCAAAGGCCATGTAAAGACGGCTTCTTTAAGGAACTTCTTAACTTTCTTTTCAGGATCTGACAAAACGTTCAAGCCAGACACAGAACAAAGCCAGTAGGAAGAGGCAGCATGAAGAGCCAGAAAGCTTCTTTACCTGGTTCACTGACCACTCCGATGCAGGGGCTGACGAACTAGGAGAAGTCATCAAGGATGACATCTGGCCAAATCCATTACAGTACTACTTGGTAAGAACAGCATGGAGTTGTTGATCCACACCCATAATAGCAGGGTGCAAGTGAAAGTGAATTTGATCACTAGTTAATGTTGCATCTGTGTCTTTAAGGTTCCTGATATGGATGATGAAGAAGGGGAGGGAGAGGAGGATGATGATGACGATGAAGAGGAAGAAGGATTGGAGGATATTGATGAAGAAGGAGATGAAGATGAGGGGGAGGAAGATGAAGATGATGATGAGGGAGAGGAAGGAGAGGTGAGTAATGTTATACCTTCCATCGCTGGTGTATGAGAATCAAAAGAAATTTTTATAAAAGGGATCTTGTAAGAATACTGAGCCATTGTTACAAAGGTAAAATAGTTCTTTACAATCACTGACGAGGTGTTTGGAGGGGAGAAGCAGAACTGTTACCATCTTGTGCAGTGGTTTCAGTGTAGTAATAAGGTTTTTTGCATATATGAGACAGTACATATAAGCAGTTTCAGTAAATTTGTAAGGGAGGTGCTCTAGAAGAACTAGGATATTAGTGTAACAAAATTCTTATTTAACTAGTGAACATCCTAGCAAGGCTTTACTTGTTATATCAACAAAAGTTATTTACCAGTTCTGTCATCCTCCCACCTGTTGGTTTCTTTCGCTTACGGCCAGCTTAGCTAAGACTGTTGGGTTCAGGAATTAGAAATTTCCTTTAGCTGCAAGTGGGATTCCAGGGACAGCATTCAGGGTGTTGGTAACTTAAAGTTCAGAATGTCTTGATTTTTTTGTAATTGGGTGTGATGTGTCTGAATTTCAGCAGCAAAAAACTATTTGTATCGAGGTAGGAGGGCTGTTGTGGGCACCAGAATCCTGTGCTCACCTGGAATTTAGTATTTTTAGTAATTTAGTACCTGGAAGTTGAAGCAGTTTCCTCTTCAGAGTTTAAGAGTTTAAAATAGGGGAAAAAAGGTGGCCCCTTCACTTCCTAGATACCAGTGTTTGTAGTGATTCTAAGTCACAGTAGTTGTTCAAACCTGATGTTTCTTCATTGGGACATCCAGTTATTAACTGATTTTTGTGTAGATTGTACTCATGGCAAGTGTTACTACTCCTTAGTGAAGAGGGAAGGAGAGATCATACAGCATGCTACGAGTAACACTGTAGGGCTGTTGTCTGTAGGGTAGTAAAACATTCTGGTTATTGCATTTGATAGTTCGTGCTACCTGAAGTTTAGTGATTAGATTTTTTTAATTGTTGCTTATGTTTCAACAGGAGGATGAAGGAGAAGATGACTAATTGAACACTGATGGATTCCAAACCCCCTTTTTACCTTTTTAATTTTTCTCCAGTCCCTGGGAGCAAGTTGCTGTCTTTTTTTTCTTGTGCTCAGTCGCCTTGTTCTCTTGAGGTCTCTTTTTCTCTCCTCTACACCATGGTTCACAATTTATTTTGGGGGAAATACCTTGAGCAGAATACAGTGGAAAAGAATCTACCAGTTTCTGTTTCAAGTTCATTTTTATCCCTTTCTGTCTCAAAACAAAAACTGTTTATGGAATCAACACACCATGTTCTGTGGGAAAAAAGAAAACCTTCTGCTCCCTTCACTCTGCTGGAAGCTGAAGAGTGCTAGGCCCCTGTGTAGTAGTGCATAGAATCTAGCTTTTTTCCTTCTTTCTCTGTATATTGGGCTCAGAGATTACACTGTGTCTCTATGTGAATATGGACAGTTAGCATTTACCAACATGTATCTGTCTACTTTCTCTTGTTTAAAAAAAAGAAAAAACTAAAAAAAAAATGGGGTTATAGAAGGTCAGCCGGGGTGGGTTTCAGATGTTTGGGTGGGTTAAGTGGGCATTTTGACAACATGGCTTCTTCTCCTTTGGCATGTTTAATTGTGATGTTTAACAAACATCCTTGCAGTTTAAGATGACACTTTTAAAATAAAATCTTCTCCTAATGATGACTTTGAGCCCTGCCACTTGATGGAGAATCAGCAGAACCTGTAGGATCTTATTTGGAATTGACATTCTCTATTGTAATTTTGTTCTTGTTTATTTTTAAATTCTTTTTTTTTTTTTTTTTTTTGTTTCACTGGAAAGGAAAGAAAGATGCTCAGTTTTAAACGTTAAAGTGTACAAGTTGCTTTGTTACAATAAAACTAAATGTGTACACAAAGGGACTGGTTGGTCTTCACTGAAAGAAACAGTTTTAATATCCTGTTTTGAACTTGCTTGTAGTTTCTTGGCATTTTTGGGGGCATTTGGTCAGTATTTATATAGTGCAATGCAACCCTGTGGTTGCATGGACTGATCATTGGTGCATTTAGTTTCCACTATTTCAGTACTTGTAAAATGTTTCCTTTGGTAGTTACTACTGCACACTTGGTTTCTTGAATTAACTAACTCTAAGACAAGGCTGTAGGTACACGTCTTGTGTGAAGACAGGTTTATAGTCATGTTTTTTAAAAAGAAAAATCACTTTTTTTTTTTTTAAAGTAGTAACTTCCAATACTGTATCTCCAGTAAATCAGTTTGCATGAAAATATCATGCAAGCTCAGAATAAAAAGACCAAGAGGTCTTATAAGAAGATTTGGGTTTTTTTGTAAGTCATTTCAGTTGAAAATAAATCTTAAGTGGAAGCTAATTTTTGGGCTATTTCAAAGAGCAAGATTCTTAGCAAAGCTCATGTATAAAAAGTTGCTACTTCACTGCTTTCTTTCCTTGGTAGCAGCATGTATATATGCTTTAGATATACTGTACTCTTCTTCATTTTAAGAGACTGCTTTTGAGTAGCTTGTAACAATTTCACATAGAGCTTGTTGGTACTGGTATTCCACAGTGTGTAATGAAAGTTGTTTTAACATGCTGTGCTTTTGAAATATTTAAAAAAAAATGTTGTATCAGCTAATCTAAAATTCAAACAGCTAGTTCTCTTTGGATGTGTAGAAAAAGACTGTCTTCTGGGAAGACTTGCTGTTATATTCTCTGATCCATTTTCCTCACAGAATTTGCTGTAGTCAAATTCAGCTTTTTTTGATGCTCAAGAATACAACTTAGCAGAACAAGATTAATGTCTATGTGAGACATGCCCAAATAACATGTGTGGAGGAAACATTCTGTAAGTGTCTGGTCCAGCTTGGATTCAATCTAGTTATGAGACAATGCAACGTCCAGTCTGCATGTGATCAATGCGAAAATACAGCAATGTTTACTTTATTCTGTCTCAACAAGAGCTGCAGCCCTAATCCTGCTTATAGAGCAAAGTAAAATGTTAATTGGTAATGGTTTCTTATCATGTAGAGAGGGAAGGAACAAAACCTATGAAGTCTATAAATTCTAGATTCTTTTTCATTCGATTCCTTTTTGTTGTAAGATTGAAAACCGCTTCCTGTTGTGGTAGAGGGTCAATGTGCTATTACTTGCCATGATGCCTCGTTACTTAATTTCTATGTAGTCCTAATTGATTGTAGTTCTTCGAGGAGAATATTTTTTTTTTCTAGTCTTCAGTGCTTTAGGAAAAATACTGTGCCATATTTGTTATACCCCTGTTGATTACTAGCAGAAAACCTATAAAAACTTGTTTTGAAAGTAATCAAAGCTTCAGGTTGTGTAAAGTTAAATACCATGAGCAAGAAATGAGAACTCTGGATAATGAAATGCTACTTCTGAGATTTTTCTTGAACGTTCTTTAGGATTTTACAGGGTGCCAAAACACTCTTGCTACTGTACTAATAATACTAGATTTCCTGTGAAATTTAAGGGTTTACTCCTGGCAATGGCTAAAGAGTAAACTAACATGCTAAAAGAATAAACCGTATTTGTTAAGTGTAATCTTAATTTTTTTTTTTTTCTAGCAATGGAAAGAAGTAGGGATTAACACATTCCTCTGCAGCGTTGAAGGAAATACTACAGATGGCCATCATGTGCTCTTGACTGTTCACTTAATGTCTAATTTGGCTGAATTTATGTAATGGGTGTCCATTTTTACTTGATTTAATTTGTATATGCATATAAAGAGCATTTAAAGGTAGATGTTCACCTTGGATAAGAATGGGAAATTCATTCTTATTAAATACCTGTCTGTATCTCATTAATTCCCCACTGCTGCTTGAGCTTCTCACATCCAGTTAATCCTGCCAAGTGGAATTTGTCACAGGTGGAAGCTGAATTCAGGCTTTGTGGCCTGAATTTCCAGAGTTAGAATATAGAGTTGGCAACAATTTCATAAAGGTGAAGCTACTGTGCTGGGGCTGTATGACTTAAATGACTCAAAGGTTATTTTTATTTTGAAGTTTTAATTGCTATAAAATGGAATCTTTTGTCTGTAATTTCTAGTGCCAAAGGAAAGCAAATACATCCATGTGTGTAAATACAGTTAGAAAGGTTTGAGGTTTTTTTAAACAGATTATGTGTGCTTACTCATACTTGTCAACATAGTTTTTGTCCCTGTAAACAAGCATTATCTGAATGGATTTCTCAGTCGCTTATGCCATTCACTTGAAACTGTAAGCTTCTCTTTGTACCACACTAAAACAGGCGCATAACGATAGTATTTTGTTTATTGGATACTGTTCCTGAATTTTGAAGCCATGCTTTTTTTTTTAAGAGAATGAAATCAATGAAATAATTTCTCTGATGTACCTTCAAGATATCCTTCTGTTTGAAGGAATTAAAGTACATTTAACTGTTACTTGATGTTACCATTTCTAAGAGTCTTTTTCAAAAGAATCAGTTCTTAGTCCCAAACTCAGCATCGCCTTTTAGAGGCAAGGTTGATGGCTATCAGGTGCCCAGTGCGATAAGAGTTGACCGGAGGTCACGAGTGACTCTGGAACAAGATGCTTGCTTCCTCCGCGGAACAGATTGATGCTTAATCTCTTGCCCTCCCTCTCCTGGATTAAAAATGGAAACTAAGACTTTTTCTCTTGATCATCACCTTCTCTGAGGGAATGTGCTCTAGTGGAGGGACTCCTCGAAGCTGTGACCCCCCGTGCCTGCTGGAGCAGAGCCGGTGGGACTCCCGTGTCCCCCGGCCCAGCCGTGCCCGTTGGGGCCGGCTCTCCGAGGCACCGGGAGCATTTCTGCAGCACCCGGCACGGGCTGGGGCAGCGCTCCCTTGGGGAGCTCCTGCCTGCCGCCCTGGGAAGGGTATTCCCTGGCCGGGAAGGACCGTGAAACGGGAGAGTTGGCCAAGGTGAAAGGCAGAGGGCTCCGGAAAGCGAGGGGCATCCTTCCACGGCGCTTTCCTCCCCCCCTACCCCGCCCCGCTTTTAGCGCTCGCCTAACCGCAGGCAAAACGGCCAGCGGCTTTCCTGGAGCTGTAATTCGCTTACAAACCGGTGCCGCACGTCCCTTCTCCTCGGGTTTAGCGAAGGGCAGCAGCTGCCGGTTCAAGGGCAGGGCCTGCCTTAATCCCCAGC